GGGTCCCCAGATGTTGTTGGACTACAACTCCCATCATTCCCAGCCAGCATGATCAGTGGTCAGGGATGATGGGAGTTGTAGTCCAACAACATCTGGGCACCCACAGGTTGAGAACCGCTGGTCTAGACAATAGTGAGCTGGATGGACCCAATGGCCAGACTCACTATAAGGCAACATCCTATGATCCTATCTGCAGGTGGTGCTGAGAAAGACCCGTCTGAAACTGAGAAACGGCTGCCAGTCCACGTATGTAGACAATACAGAGTGAGATGGTCTGACTCTGGACAAGGGACCCTCCTATGTCTCGATGTGCAAGGCCTGGACTGAATAAGTGTGTGTTTGTGTGTGTAACCACCACCACAACCACCCCAAGTACAGAGGCTGTGTGTTCTGCCCTCTCCCTTTCAGAAACAGTTCTGAACTGGCTCTGAACATAGCCGAACTCTCCAGCACATGCCAGGGGAGCCCTCCTGATGCCAACTGGTGGTGCCCGACGGGCACAGTAGCAGCAAGGAAGAGTCTGGAGCCGTGCCCAAGGAGATGATCCACAGGAAAGGGAAGGGGAACAGAAGGAGGAGGAAGAAGATGAAGAAGAGGGATGAGGAGGAAGGGTTTTCTCCCCACCCCATGCACATTCCCTCTCCTGGCAGCCTACTTGGCAGGTGACCTTGGGCTGACCTTGCAGGGAACAGCCAGGCTGCCTGGCCCCACAGTGCCCTCTGCAATGATGGAAACAGCTCAGCCCCAAAGCAGCACCCATCACAGAGGATGCAGCTAAAAGGAGGGGGAAGGCAGGTGGGCACTGCTCAGGCCTTGCCCATGGGCAGGGGGAGGGAGGGAGAGAGAGACTGGTGCAAAAACACAAAGAGGGAGAAAGAGAAACAGAGGGAGGGAGGGACACACAAGCAGGTGCTGAAGCTGAGTTGGCCTGAACTGATGGAGCCCAGGTCAGGAAATACCTGACCCGGTTCTCAAGATGCTTGAGAAAAGGGGCAAAAGGCTCAGGTTTATTTGTTTGATTCCTATCCCACCTTTCCTCTCAGGAGCTCAAAGCAGCAAACATGGTTTTGTTCCCCACACCCTGCCAGGAACACACACACACACACACACACACACACACACACACACGTTATCTCACAACAACCCTTTAAAGTAGGTAAAGCCAAACCAGTGGCCAACCCAAGGTCACCCTGAGACTCTCAAGTGTTTTTAAACAATGCAGTTTCCCCCCATTCTTAGAAAGTGGCTTGGAAAGGCCCATGGACAGGTTGGATTGCTGCAGCTCCCACCCCTTCTTCCCACATGCTGAATTATTGTATTACATGGGGAGGGATTCGGATAGGCAGGCAACCCAGCAGAATTTCTGGCTTGTTCATCCTTTACGGGAACCCCGTTCACACCTCAGTATGTCACAAGATGTTGGGATGAAGCGATGGGGCCCCCAACTAGCAAGAGATGAGCCCCCCTGACACCCTCCTAGCTATCTTACTAGAGCATGACGCCTACACACCCGTCCTTGATGAAGGCTTCTTCGTGGGCAAGGATGCAAATGACCTGACCCAAGGGCTCTTGGTTTAAATATAGGCAGTGCCAGGGGAGCATCCGGCTGCCACTTGGAAAAACAGGAGAGAGACAGGCCGAAGGAGCCCTCGGAGGCAGGCCCAGTAGCTTCTGAAACATCCTCCCCTGTTTGCCACATGGCATGGGATGGGGGGCATGAGGAGGAGATAGCGGAAGGGTGGGGGGAGTCACAAAAGACCTACTTGGCAAGTTGCTCATATGGACTGGAGACACTTGTGGCATAGTGGGTGAGGTGTCAGACTAAGAGCAGAGAAATCAGGGCTCAAATCCCGCCTTGACCACTAAAGTCACCTTGAGCCAGTCACATACCCTCAGCTTGACCTACCTCACAAGGTTGTTGTGAGGATAATATGGAGAGGGAAGAACAAACCGCTATATGTTGCCTATAGTCATAGAATGAGCATCGCAGGATTGGAAGGGACCCAAAGAATCATCTAGTCCTACTCCCTGCAATGCTAAAGAATCCCTGGCAGATGGCTGTCGAACCTCTGTTTAAAAGCCTCCAGCTTACGGAGTCCACCAGCACCTTAGTTAACATCAGCCAGACACCAAAAGCAGATCAAAGCACATGTCAGCATTCCACATGTCTAGGTAGTCTTGTCTAAGCAAAAACGCAGAGAGAAGGGTTCAGGCAATGAGTCCCAAAGAGGCTCAAGAAATTTCCTGCTCATGAAGCCTACCTGGGAACAGCAAAAAATGTTGTTCTACTTTTATTAAAATATTCATACTCTTCCCTAGTGGGACCTTAAAGGTGGCAAAAGGCCATAATTTAAAACATGGCAAATAAAACTGCATTTTAAAAGCACCAAGGAAACACTAAAACGAAGATAAGAAAACAGCAGCAATATAATATCAGCAAATGAGAAAAGGGCGGGGGGAGGGACAGAAGGAATAACAGAGCCAGAACCAACTTCAAGCAGCGCTGATCATAGAATTGGAAGGTAACCCTAAGGGTCATCCAAACCAACCCCTGCAATGCAAGAGTCACAGTTAAAGAATCCCTGAGAGATGGCCATCTAACTTCTGTTTAAAAACCTCCAATGGAGGAGAGTCCAACACCTTCCAGGGGAGTCTGTTCCACTGTCAAAGAGCTCTTTCCATTGGAAAGGTCTTCCAAATGTTTATTCCGGATCTCCTTTCTTGCCATTTGAGTCCATTGGTGTGGGTCCTACCCTCTGGAGCAGGAGAAAAGCTTGCTCCATCTTTCATGGAATAGTCCTTCACATATTTGAAGATGTGATTCTATCACCTCTCAGTCTTCTCCTAGCTAAACATGCTCCTATAACCGTTCTTCATCCGGCTTGGTTTCCAGACCTTTTATCATCTTGGTCGCCCTTCTCTGCACACCTTCCAGCTTGTCAATAAATTGTGATCAGATGGATTTCAAAAGAGAAACCATTTTTAACCGGGCAAAGCAGAGGGTAGAGGAAGCTAGGGGAGTCTCCATGGACCTCATCTAGGCCAGCCCTCCAGCTGCTTTGGATTACAGCTCCCATCGGACCCAGGACATACAGCTGCACTGACTGGAGCCAATGGTGAAGGGAGGCTAGCCAATGCGCTATCACAAAGATGCCCCAAACTAATGGGCACAGGATATTGGACATAATATCATGTTTGCTGACTGGGAACAGTTGTGGACCACAGGTATGAAATTCACGGCATGTAATGCCTTAAGAGAGAATATTATGAAAATGATATACAGGTGGTACATAACCCCAGTCAAGCTTGCAAAAATCTACCATTTGCCCGATAACAAATGTTGGAAGTGTAAAGAAACCGAAGGTACATTCTTTCACCTTTGGTGGACGTGCCCAAAGATTAAGGCTTTCTGGGAAAAGATATATAATGAATTAAAAAAGGTATTTAAATATACCTTCCCTAAGAAACCAGAGGCCTTCCTCCTGGGCATAGTCGGCCAAATGGTGGTAAAAAAGGATAGAACTTTCTTTATGTATGCAACAACAGCAGCAAGAATACTTATCGCAAAGTATTGGAAGACACAAGAACTTCCCACGCTGGAGGAATGGCAGATGAAACTAATGGACTATATGGAATTGGCGGAAATGACTGGTAGAATCCGTGACCAGGGAGAAGAGTCGATGGAGGAAGACTGGAAGAAATTCAAAGACTATCTTCAGAAACACTGCAAAATTAAGGAATGTTAAAGTGATGTTGGACTGAAAATAAGTGGTTTCCAGCTGCACAGGTTAAAGTTAATGATAGACTAAGATTAAAGATCAAGATTAAAGATGTTTAAAGAAATGGAAATTTGATATTAAAAGGGAAAATTTTAACGCTATATGATATTAAGATCAAGGATTAGGTTTAAAGAAGTTGAAGTTATATATTTTAACATTTTATTAAATTAAAGATTGGGATTTAAAAAGTGGAAAAGAAACTGCTGGACAAATAATTTGGATTGGAATACAAAAGAGGGAGGTATGAGGAAGTCCAGAAAATAAGTAATCTAAAAATGGAAATGGAAAAGAGAGTTTGTTTTTAATTGTTATGTTTTTTTGTTTTTTATTGTTGAGTTTTGTATTGCTTTTTGTGTGTGCTGTTTCTTTGTTGTTTAAAACTTTAATAAAAATTATTTAAAAAAAAAAAAAAACTGGAGCCCCCACCTGCTGTGTGCCAGGCCTGCAGTCAGGAACTTCTCACTGGGTAGACTTAGAATGTATGAAAAGCCCTGCAAAAGGGGCCTTGTCTAGGCCAGCATCCTGTTTTCACAGTAGCTAGATGCCGCTAAGAACCTAGGAACCCAGGCAGACATAAGGACCTAAGACAAGCCCTCCAGCTGGATAAGGCCCATTGGGGGCCCCATCTATTCCAGCATCCTGTTCCCACATGCCCATTGGGGGAAGCTTGCAAGCAGGACCACTCTGCCCACTTGCAATTCCCAGAGGCAGGTACTCAGAAGGCAGAACACGGACAACGTTGTGGCTGGCAGCCCTTGACAGCCCCAACCTCTTCCTTCAATTAGTCTATTCCTCTTTTTGAGCCATCCAAGTTGGTGGTGTTCCCATGCCTGAGGATTCCTGCCTGAGGAAGCCTGGGAGGGACTGCAAAATGCTCACAGATAGTTTGTGTCTCTGCACAGTTGGAGGCAGGGTCCGCCCCACAGTAGAAGCCCTTCTGAACGTGTGCAGAGTGCCTTTCCCCTACAAGAGAAAAACAATAACCAACTCCTTGCATGATCTGGAATTAGGGAAACAATTGCCCTGGCTCATAAAACAGACTCGCAGTTGGGCTTGCAGGAGGGCCCAAGGTGCCCTCCATTCCAGTGATTAACCTTTGACCTTCAAAACTACCTTTCCTCCCCTCATGCAAAGGCCTCTCTGCCTGCTGCCCCCCAGCAACACACACCCTTCCTGCTTGCACACTTTGAGAGACTTCAAATCCATCTCCTTCCAAATCCATCAGCCAGCCTGGGCCAGCGTTTCCACGGCAACCGGCCTAGGCAACAGCCGCCCAGCCTGCCCGTCACGACAGCCTCCTTTGCGAGGGCCGACAACAGCCGTGGCGGCGGCGGCAGGAGTCAGGCGGCCCTGGTGTCTCCTCCGGCTGCACGAGAGGCTCCCCTGCCAAGCCCATCTCCACGGCAACCGGCCAAGTCGGTTGCCGCCACCGCCATCTGCTAGCCAGCCTCCCTCTCCAGACAACAGGCTTCCGGAGAGCAGGCGAGTGGGCGGGTGGGCTGAGCCCAAGTGCCGGCGGCATGTGGGTGTTGTGTTGTGTGTCTGCATGTAGAAGAGAAGCGGGAGAGTATTCTTGACGTAAGCGAGCACTATTTGGTGCCTTGTGCGAGACGAGGGGTTATGTAAACTCCCGTCGTCTGGTTGCGATGCAAGAGTCTGAAATTGTTGTCCTTGGCCCTGAGCTGGGAAGGGAAAAAAGGGGAACGGAGAACTTAGGATGGCGCCTGGGCAGGCAGGCATGTTCAAGGCTCTGAATCGGCAAGTTGTCAGGAACCCAAATGCCCATGAAGACTCAGAGCAGGAACTCAAATTTCTTCCAGGTCGTAGTACCGCTTGGTCAGACCCCACCTGGAGTCCTGTGTCCAGTTCTGGGTGCCACAGTTTAAGAAGAATATTTTGCAAGGTAGAAGGTGTGCAGAGGAAGGTGGTCGAGATGATGAAAGGCCTGGAAACCCAGCCTTATGAGGAACGGACGGTTGAGGCACTGGGGATGTTCAGTGTGGAGAAGAGGGGATGGAGAGGAGAGTCATATGTGAAGGGCTGCCCCATGGAAGATGGAGCAAGCTTGTTTCGTGCTGCTCCAGAGGGCAGGACCCAAACCAACAGATTCAAATGACAAGAAAGGTGATCCCAAATAAACATTCAGAAGAACTTTCTGAGGGTAAGAGCTGTTTTGACAGTGGAACAGACTCCCTCAGAAGATGGCTAACTCTCATTCATTGTAGGTTTTTAAATAGAGGTTGGATGGCCATTTGTCAGGGATCATTTAGCTGTGATTCCTGCATTGCAGGGGGTTGGACTAGTTGGCCCTTAGAGGTCCCTTCCAACTCTATAATTCTGTGATTCTATGACTTCAGTTGCAGAGGGATGAAGGTAAAGCTAGCCTCCAGCTCCTATCAAGCCCAGCCAGCATGGCTAGTGGTTAGGGCTGCCGAAAATAGGAGCTGGACAACACCTGGAGGATGTTTCAGGTGTAGCAGCATCACCTGCTGCTCCCTGACGGTTTCGCCTGGAGGTGCCAATGGGATTGTACCCAGGGCCTTCTGCATGCAAAGCAGCTGTCCTATGGTCCTTCCCCTCTACACAGCTCTGGGCAACTCACACTAATGAAACATACCACAAGGGTGCTGGGGGAGGGCCAGAGAAAAGACCCAGGATGATGTGACCTTGGAGTTACTGGCAGGGGGTGGGCCTCTGTGTGAAACAGCATCCCTCTCCAGATATGACAGGCGCCCGCTATCTGCACTTCCCGGAAACAATGGAATGCATTTTTGTTCCAACAAGCTTCCCCTGCTGGATGGTTGGATCTTGGCCAGGAATGTATATTTGGTATCACATTATGTTTGTTTTGGGGTTTTTTAAAGCATTTGTGCTTTTTAACTGTGTCTTGCAGTTTTTATTGCGCATCGCCTTGAGAAGATTGTGCAGAATGCGATTAATAAATTAATAATAGCAATAATAATTAGCTGTGATCACTTGGGCCTTAAGCAGGAAGACAGTCCAGCCCACCCCCAACCCGAACCTGCCCTCTGAATGGAATCCCCCCCCCCAGGAAGTTCACCTCTGAGCCACCTCCCACCAGTGTCCCGTTTAAGTTCCTTCAGTGTGCCCCAAAGGGAACGAAGGAGAAACTGAGTCCCGAACCCTCCCTGACCCTGCCCAGTGGGCCTTGCTTACAAGGTGGGCTGAACATACCACATGCACCACTCTTCCCACAGCCTGCCACAGGGTAAGAGGCCATGTTCGCAGGGCGAAGGTGCAAAAGGGTTTCCCGCTTTTTTCTTCAATTATGAGACGGATTTCTCTCAGGGTGGCCTATTACTCATTGCCAGAAACTTAAACAAAAAACAAGGGCACAGATTTGCAAAAAAAGAAGTACATATGCTAATTTACAAGTAATTTACATGGACATTTAGAAATAATTACTATAATTTAAATTGAAGGACAATACATATCCTCATAGTGGGGAGCAAGACTATAACCAGGTGACTTGGGATCTTTCCTGCTCACTCTGCTGTCTTGGTGCTGCTGAGTGTAGAATGGGCAGCTTCAAGTCCCGTCCCCCCACCTACGCTCTCCCCTTTTTTTATCTCTAAACTAGGATTGGACTGGGTAGCTCTTCAAACAGAGGACTGCCTTCTCTAAAGTGGGACAGTGGCCTCCCTAACTTCACTAAACCGTATCCAGCACCGTCTGCTCTTAACCTTCAGTGGGGGGCTCTCAAATTCCACCCTAGACCTCACCAGGGATTGATCCAGGTGCCTTCTGCATGCCAAGCAAGTGCTCTGCCACCACTAAGATAGGGAGGTGCCTCTCAGCTCTGGGGGAGGACAAAAGGCCCCAAATCACTGAGTCAGGGAGGGAGGAAGAAAGGAAGGGAGCCTGCTTGCCTTCCTTGCCCACCTGCACAGGAGGGGAAATGAGCTCAGCACCCAGCAATAATACGGAAAAGGATCGCTTCTGGGCATGCACAGAATGCAGCATGGAATAGCCACAGGAATCAGGGCCCCTCACCCCCAAGGGGAACAGCTTCCCAATGCAGGACCTCTCTCCCCCCACTTTTTTGTAAGGGGCTCCAGCACTGGAGTCTGCCCAGGGAGGGGAGGGCCCCCCTGGACTTTCCATCCTTCCAGATCAGCTGCCCCAGAATTGGCTCCCTCAGCAGCCCATCCTGGCTGCTCGCCAGAGCAGCAGGCAGGGCCATAAACAGATAAGTAATAGCTGGATAAATTGCAATAGCTGGGGACCAGGTTTCCTCTGACGCACAAGCAGGGCTGGCCCAAGACATGTTGGCACCTGGAGCAAATGGCAAAATGGCTCCCCGCCCCCTGGCTAGGGAAGAAGGGGTGAGTGAAGATCTGTATCAGGAACAAGGGAGAGGGAAATCAAATCAACCTTAATCGATGGTTGAAGTGGGGCTCAAAGGCCATTGCTGGATGGCTGGGGACTGAGAATCATGCCGGGCAGGCGCAGAGCCCAGGAGACCCCAGAGAGCTATTTTGTCGCTGAAGAAGGGCAGGTAGGGTTGCCAGGTCAGTTGCACCCCAGACCCAAGACCATGGGACAGCCCCTGGTGATGCCCTAGAGGACAAGACCCCAGTGCTGTCAGAAACCACAGACTCTGACAGCAGGTCATTCACATAAAAACACAAAGTCTAGCAAATGGTTGGAAACAGAGACAGAAACCTTAGCTCAAGGGGGTATTTCCAAATCATTCTTTCTCACCTGCTCAGGGCACCCTGAGCCAACCTGGAGATTCAAGTCCTCCCCATGCGACACAGGGAGGTGGAGCTCAGGTGAACCTGAAGACTTCAGGTCACCCCTGGAGGCCTGGCAACCCCCAGCGCAGGGAAGGCTGAAGCCTATGGGGTCTGGGAAGCCTCAGTTCAGGAGGGAAGGAGTCCAAGGAAGGTCTGGTCCCAGGCAAATGGGGGGTCCTGGTGGCTGCAGGGAGCAGTGTGCTGAGATTTAATTTCCCACAAGGCAGGATGCTCTGCCAGGAGTTTCATGGGAAATCAAGATGGCCGCTGGACCCAGCCAGCCAGTGCTGCTTAAGAATGCTTGGACCCAGGGCCTGTGTCAGCAGCAGGCTGTCCTGAGGTCCCAACAGCTGCCTGAGGTTGATACCTGAGCATGGTCTCCTGCACCCCTGCAAACAACAGCCAAACATTCCCATCAATGAAAGGGTGTGGAGCCCCAAACCAAACCAGGGCCAAGTTACGGACTTAGGTCCCACAGCTCTCTTTTTTTCCTGTAAAAGGAAAGTGGCCAATTAAAAGTGGGCTTTTCAAAAAGTAGCATGGCTATCCTAAGCGGAAAGTGTGAAAGGGACAGAGGAGGAAATACAGCGTGACCCACAAACAAGACCTGCAGGATATTGCACAGACCCACAAGGTAATGGTGGGTGAGGGGCAAATGGCCATGACTCTGTTCTCTAATTCTAAGCTGCGCTTCGCACCCCATAGCAGCCATTTTGTGACTGATGCCCTTGGCAGCAGTCTGAATTTTTAATTCTTTGAAGCTCAAATAAACATTATCTATAAAACGGTATGCATTTTGATTTTTATTACGTATTTTTTATATTTTATTAGCTTTTTTAAAAGTTCATGTATTCAGTAGAGAAGGGGGGAGGGAGCACAGGAAGAGGAGAGGGGTTAGGAGAGGTATTTTACAATTTATCAAGATAAAGAGTCCTGACACCTCAGTTTTTACCGAAAAAAGGCTCAGCAAGGGAAGAAGGTGGATCGTGGAGATATCGGATCCGGCCATGGTGATACATGCCTTAGTTACATCCCGTTCAGATTACTGTAATGCTCTCTACATGGGACTGCCTTTGGAAAGCGTTTGGAAATTTCAGGGGGTCCAAAGTGCTGCAGCCAGATTGCTAACCAGAGCCAGCTACAGGGAGAACAGAAACGCCTTTTTACAGCAGCTCCATTGGTCCATTTCCAGGCACAATGCAAAGTGCTGGTTATGACCTACAAAGCCCTATACAGGTTGGGGGGTCAGACTATCTAAAGGATAGTTATATCCCTATATATGAGCCTGGCTGGGCTCTGAGATTTTTTGGGGAGGCCTTTCTCTCAGCCAGCCACCCTCACAAGCACATTTGGGGAGGACACACAAGAGGGCCTTCTCAGGGGCTGCTCCTAGACTGTGGAACTCCCTCCCATGGGAGGCTAGCCTAGCCCCTGCTCTGCTTTCCTTTCTCATGCCAACATAGACCTTCTCTGGTTCTGACAGGCCTATGACCACTAACTGGCTGTTGTGACAAGGTATTCTGAGGTGGGAACAGATTTTATTGTACTGTGTGTGTGTGTGTGTGTGTGTGTACGCATTTAAATTATTTTGAGTGTTTTCAGTGCTGTTTTAATGGAGTTGCTTGTTTTTCATATTTACATTTATTGTGTGTTTCTCGTATGTGTTTTAATTTATGCTGTCAGCTGCCTGGGGTCCTGCACTGGGAGAAAGGAAGAACATGAACAGAACGGAATAAAATACAGAAAGAAGTGGAGGCAAAACTTAAGGATACTAGAAGGGACCCCCACCCTCGCCCTTCACAGAGACCACCAGCAGACCTCAACATATCTGAGAGTTAACAAATCACCACCATCTTTCATTTATTTACTATTCTCATCATCACAAAGGGGCTCAACAAAATGATGATCTACTAATAAGATACAGAGATTTTCTTAAATCCTCAAACTGTTTACATACTTTACTTTTAGCCATCATTACAACAGCCCTGCAGGATGGCCCTGTATCCCTTCCTCCTTATTACGGAAAAGATAGAGGAGGATCCTAGAACTATAGAACTGGAAGGGACTCAAAGGGTCATCAATTTTCTGCAATGCAGAGAGAGGACCAGATTGCATTTGGCTCACAAGACTACTGTTTCCTTTGCCTGAATCAACTTTTAGGACCCCTTCCACCATGCGACACTCTCCCTGATGTGCCAGGTGCTGTACAGGCCACGGAAGCATTCACACTCCCCACTCGCAAGCCCCATGCAGTGTTAGAAACTCAGATATATAAGTTGGTGCCAAATGGCTCCTTAAACCAGGGTTACAGTCGCCAAAATGGAATGCCTAGTTGCCATTTTGGGGCCAGAAGGCTTGAAAGTCATATTTTTCAATGCAGTCGTACCTCGGAAGTTGAATGGAATCCGTTCTGGAAGTTCATTCAACTTCCAAAACGTTCAGAAACCAAGGCACAGCTTCTGATTGGCTGCAAGAAGCTCCTGCAGCCAATCTGAAGCCGCGGAACCCATGTCGGATGTTTGGGTTCCAAAGAACGTTTGCAAACCGGAACACTCCTGGGTTTGCAGCGTTCGGGAGCCAAAACATTCAACTCACAATGTGTTCGACTTCTGAGGTACGACTGTACAACTATTTGATTCCTGAAATTGGTTCTGATGATGCAGATGAACTATAACGGATAGAATTCTACAGGGTATGTGAAAACAGTCAAGATCCAAGGATCCCCAGGCATGCACTGCAAGATGGTGGAGACTTCAAGTATCCTGGTGCTCAGCCATCACCACTTGGTTGCAAGTGGTCAACAGCCAGGTGCAAAATGCGCCTGGCAAATTTTAAACGCTGGCCTGGTCCCACAGGAACCCGCAGCTCCCAGCTCCCCATCAGCCTCTTACCTTCACTGCAGAATTTGCCCTGGAATCCGGTCAGGCTGCAGTCGCACTGGACCTCGCTGTTGACCACGGTGCAGATCCCTCCATTGACGCAGGGGTTCTGCTTGGTGCATAGGTATTCCGTGTCACTGCGGATGCCCTGGCTGCCCAGGAGGGCGGGGGGCGTGTCGCCCACTTTGAGATTGGCCACCATGCCGCGGAAGGGCATCTCGTACTTGACGGTGCTGAGGGTGAGGGCCGAGAGCCGGACGTCCGGCGGGATGCCCCCCACGAAGAGGTCACTCTCCACCGTCATGTCGCGCCGCTTGGACTTGACCTCGGCCACGCGGGCCTCTCCGTCGACCACGAGCATGGTCTCGCGGTAGTTGCGCGTCAGCAGCAGCATGTGCCAGCGGTCGTCATTGACGGGCGTCTCCAGGTGCAGGCTGGCCGGCTCGGCGCAGGAGATCGTGAAGCGCAGGCGGAAGCGCCCCTCCAGGATCAGCAGCTCCAGGAAGTCGCAGTTCCCGCCGTCGTCTAGGTACAGCACCAGGGCCCGCGAGACATTGGTCTTGAGGCTGAAGCTAAGCTCCCCCGAGGAGCTGGCATCCCACCGGGCATAGCGAGCCCACTGGCCTGTTGCGCCCCCAAACTCCAAGGCCGCGCCGCCTGCCCCGGGGCCCAGCGCTGAGGCCACCAGCAACGCCAAGGGCAGCAGGCGCAACACTTTCGCCATGGCCGCCCCGCTCTGCACACCTCGAGGCGAGTGGCGCCCCCCCTCCTGCTGCACACCTTCAGATCCACATGAGACTGACTGGCACCTCCTGCAGGCAGAACAGGCCACAACCTGGCCGGGCAGAGAGAACCTCCTCTTGCTCTTCCTCAAAGAGCCGCAGGGGCTCTCGCGCAGGAAGGGGCCACGATGCACGTCTTCCGTGAAGGTCCTTGGGGCTCCCCTGTCCCCCCCTCCCCAAGAGCCAAGGCGACTCGGAAGCAGCCCTGCCTACAGCATATTCATCCTCTCATCGACAGGGGCAGCAGAATCGCCCTCAGAACGAGGGTGGGGTGGGGGGCGGGGCACGGGCAGGATGCTCCCGGGGGCCAACAACCCGTCCGTATCTGCCGCAGTCGGAAGCTTGGTCCTTCCTTCCCTCGATGGGCTCCCTCCGAATCCGTTCTGCGTTCAGTCTGGAGTGCGCATTGTAGAAAGCTCAGCCTGGAGTGGAGCAGGAAGGGGGGTGGGGGAGAGGAAGAGAGGAGAAAAGGTAAAGTAATCAGCCACTGTGCTGGTTTTCCTTTTTTTAAGTCCCATTCCTGACCCTGTAAACAGACCCTTCCCCACATTTGGGGTCCCAATTTCCAACCCACCTGCATCACAATCCCTAGCTGGGTTCACAGCGACTGCAAGTCACACTTCGTACACAACCCAAACCGGTACAGATACATAGCTATATACAGTGCTGTTTTACTATAAAAAGAGGTGTCGGAACTCACCATGAACACCTCCCTTGTTTTCTTATTATGGCAATGGTGCTCACTTGAGAGGTGCCAGAACTGAGTTTCACTGAGTTCTGGCAGGGGGAGGGGAAGCCTTAGATATATAAATATATATGTAGGGTTGTGTGGGTGGGTGTGCGCACGCATATCTATATGGAACTCCCGTCATAACACCTCTTCTGCCATGTCCCAAGCAAAGCTCAGACATACCCAATGAACGGTACCACCTACCCAGAAAAAAAATAAATCTGAATCCCCTCGTCTTTTATTTTTGTCTTTGCATGCACTCTGGAGTCCAGAACTATTTTTTCTCTCCCAGCCCACCTGCACCACACAGGCAGGATCCTCATGTGGTCTCTTTTCCTGAGGTCTCCAATGTGGCGGTCATGTAGACATCATGACACCTTGAGGTGTTCCTGTTGGCACCTGCCAAGAGCCCCCGTCCTCCCTCGTCTTTTAAAATTCAGGGCTTAAAAAAAAAAATTTATCCCCACCTTGGGTGGGGCTGGACTGGCTGGTAGATGAAGGACAGGCATCATCCAGACCCCTCATCCACCCTCTTGCCATGCTTCCCCAGACTCTCTCTGGGCCCCATATGGGGGGGGGGGGTAGTAGCATACTATTTTGTGTGATAGATGTATCACCTGGGGGTTTTTTGGTTTTGTTTTGCATGCTTTGGCTATTTGGTTGCGGCATAGGCTTGTCTGCTTTTATGTTTGGCTGTTAGGAGATCTCCTGCTTACTTTTTCAAAATATTTCATTAGAAAGTGCTGGTGCTTTTTTGTCTGTGTTTTATTTATCGGGGGGTGGGGGTTGTGAATGTGTTTTGCCTACTATTTGGGGGGGATTCTAAACATTGCCAGTTCTGCAGCTGTCCACAACACTTCATTAGATTTTCAAATGTGCCTCCTGAGCCCCAAAATGTTCCCCCTCCTACCCATTTTCTGTATGCAGAATGCCTTTAAAAACAGAGGGAGGGGGAATGAGAAGAGCAGCAAAATTCAAGAAAGTTGGACTTTGTTACTGGCATATATTAATACACAAGCTATCTATATATATATCATAGATGTCCATATTGCATGTGGGTCCTGTAGGCGAGTCATGCCTGTGGATGTGGGGGCACTGAAGACCTGTCCCCCACAAGGAATCTTAATTGACTGTCCTTCTGGTTTAGGAGATGTTAACAGGCTCTGCTCATGCTGTTTCAAGCTGACCTGTTGAGCTATGTAAGCTAGAAATTTGGGTATTTTAAAAGGAAAGGTTACAAACATGAGCAGGTAGCCTTTCAGGGATCTGGATTCCAAGCTTCATGTCCTATCCTGGGCTCTTTGCTGGAACAAAACGGGATTCTACCCTTCTTGACTCAGAGCAGAAAGCATACCTTCCGAGGTTTGAAAATAGGGACATCCTATTCCATTATTATTATAACTGTATTATTATTAATAACCCAAGCATCTGACTGGGTTGCCCCAGCCACTTTAGGTGGCTTCCAACATACATAAAAACATAATGAAACATTAAACATTAATAAACTTTCCTGTACAGGGCTGCCTTCAGATGGCTATGGGTCATATAACTCCATACCCTCCAACATTTCGGGACGTCCTAAAGAAAAGCGGGACATTCCGGGATCAAATCAGAAACCAGGACGGCTTCTGTAAATCTAGGACTATTCTTGAAAAACAGAGACACTTGGAAGGCCTGAGAAAGTCTGGGTTGTACACCACATGGAGGGAGGGGCCATATGTGCAGGAGCATCTCTGTGTGTCCGCCAGGTGGCAGCACTCAAAGAAGTGCCCCTCTTTCTTCTCCTAACTTCATCCAAGCTCAACAAAACCAATTTATGGCCCCACATCCAGCTGCGCCCCACAAGCCAGCTGCCTGCCCCCCTCCCCCGCTGCCATTTTTGTGCTCTTTCCCCTAGGCAGGAAGAATCACATCTCCTCCCCACTCCATGCAGGATCAGGGCCCTGTGTCACTCAGCCAGCTAATGCAATGCAAATTTCATTCCCATCAAATTGCCTTTTTGGAATGATTACCCTTGTAACTGACTGTCAGAGAAGCAATTTATCCCCCCCCCCCGCCTGCCGCTCAGGGTGGAGGGTGTATTTGCATCTTGTTACTGCATAAGAGCATGATTATTTATAGCGGGGGGGGGGTAGGAGAGGAAATGGGAATGGGGGGGGAGCATAGATGGAAAGAAAGTGGAGGGGAAGAGGGACTGGGGGGGCGGGCGCTGGGGGGCTGCCAGTCCAGGAGGCCAGGATTTCCAGCCAATTCTCCGCCACCCAGAGGGAAACATTCTTCCTCCTTCTCCAGGCTCCTTGTGGGCAGAGACTGGAACTCAGAGTCCCCCATTTTTCCAACAGGGTTTTTCCTCCCTTAAAATTCCTGTCTCATCTTTTAAGTGAAAAGGACCCTCAAAGCAACTTAGAAATGATCATTAAACAAAACACAATAAATCCGAAACAAACCCACTTAAAAAAAAGAAAAATGAATGCATTTCTGCCTAACCACTCTTCGCAACTGGCATCTGATGGGAGACCAGATGCAAAAGTAGAGATGGGCTTTCAACCCAGAGAGAGCAGAGTACTCATTAAAACACACGTGCACCCCCCATTCTAGCACCTCTTGCACACCACGGAGCACAACTTAAATAAGCTGGGAGGGGGCACCACCACCACCACCAACGCGCTCTGGATGTTGGGGAGGGGGCTGGTCTCCATGGCAATGGGAGGGATACGCCATCATGCAAATGAGCCGCGCGGCGGGGTTATTTATAAATTCTCCCTCGTCTGCAGCACCTCATTGGGTAATGGGCATAATTAACATTCGGCTTCTAATTAGCCAATCAAATTAAATTCCGCACCTGCAATGGGTGCTTGATTGAAGCTTCAGCGCGCTGCAGCCTCCCGTCTTCCCCCTCCTCCCCCCCCCCCCCCAGCTTTGAAGGGCTGCAGAGGAGCCCGAGCTGAAGACAAGCCCCCACCATTTAAAAGAGAGAGAGATTTCCCACCCTCCTATCTGCCTCACACAAGTGCTGCTCAGCTCAAATGTTTAATGCACCCCCAAAATGTGAATTGTGGGCCCGCAGGACTGCAAAGGCAGCGGGGAGCAGTTTCTGGGGTCCACACCTCTCTCCCCCAGGAGAGGCTGAGTATTTCTACGGATGTTATTCCTACTACTACATCCAAAGGATTTCAGTTCCCAGCCTAGCAATGGACCCAAGGGTGCAGCAGGTGACCAGACTCACCCAGCAAAATAAAAATAAAAATGTGGGGGCACCAAAGGGGCAAAGTATATTTCTAGTTGGGCAAGAAAGAAAAAAGAACAGCATGTGTTAATGACGGGCGTTCAGAAGCGGGGAGTGAGCGTCTTGTTTGGGGGGGGGGCGCTGCTTTTCCCCTTTTCCTCCTTTGTCCCCACCTTACGTCTCACCATCTGCAAAAGAGGCAGGGTTTTACCTTTTCTTGCCTGAGGCAAATGACAAGACGCCCTCCCCAACCCAGTTCTGGCCCTTAAATCTGACTTCAGCACTGGGCGCCAGAAGGAAACAGAAGAGCCCCCTCCACCCATTACCCGAAAGGCTACAGCAGCAGCAGTTTCACTTGGGGGTGGGGGGGTCATGTGGCACTAAGCTGCAAAGGAAGCCCCCTCAGCTTACCACCTCTCCGGAGGAGGCAGACTTCCATCCTTCCCAAGAGCTTCCTTGATTGGTTGATTGCATTTATATTGCATTTTCCTCTCCAAGGAGCTCCAGGTGGGGTACGTGGCTCTCCTCTCCCTCCTTTATCCCCCCCCACAACAACAACAACCCTGTGAGGAAGGTCAGGCTGAGACAAAGAGTGACTGGCCCAAGGTTAGAGTGCCCCCAGCTTCATGGGCGAGTGTGGGCACTCTAACCACTACACCCTCTCTGGCTAATGCCGGTTGGCTTTTACTTGAGTCTGGCAAGGGCGAAGGCTGGCTTGCAGGGGGGGGGGTGTTTGTGCACATGTGTGCGTGTAGGACTTGCTGTGGGCTCTCCCTGCTTCTCAGAATCTGAGTGAAGGTCACATGCTGGGATGGGACCAGGACAGAAACGTGGAGCCATAAGGGAAGGCTGTGAAGTGCTTGCCACTCTGTTGACACATGTGTCCTCCTCATACTTGATACGACACGATACAATACGATAATCTTTATTGTCATTGTCCCATACAGAACAACGAAATTGAAAAAATCTACACCAGACATTCAAAA